AACTCACTATGTAGACCAGGCTGGCCTTGAACTCACAGAGATCTGCCTGCCTCTGCCTCCCAAGTGCTAGGATTAAAGGCGTGCGCCACCACACCCAGCTGAGATACTCATATTTTAAGGCACTGAGGTTGCAGTCACTGGTCACAATGTGGCGGGAGCCCAGGCTGGCCCAGTGTCAGAGTGTTTGTGGCTGCTGGCAGGGCTACAGTGCTCAGCTCCTGGGGACCCACAAGAGACGATGGTGAACCACAGATGGCCTGGGAGGGGACATGGCGGTCACGGTGCCTGCACACCTGCAGCTTGTCCACTTTAGCCACTTGGGAGCCTGTCAGTCCTGCTGTAGATCTTGGGCTTGGATTTTGTTTTGCTGTTCTCATTGCTGGCCAGGTGCACGCCTTACCACTCAGCCCACCCAGCAGCCACGCTCCCCTTCTTTTGGGGCAAGGCCTCATACCTTAGCTGTGGCTGTCTCACAGCAATTCTGGCTCAGCCTTCCAAGTGCTGTGTGCACTGAGGCCCAGTGCTGCTGGAATCCGCTGGGGCCATCACTGTCTGGCCCTCAGCATCCTGAAGGCTCTGTACAGCTGGTTCTGGCTGGCTGGGAACTGCTACGGCCAGTGTGGCCGGCTCATCCACAGAGCCCACAGCTTCCATGTCACTGCCTGGCTTTCGTGACCTTGCCCACAGGCAAAGGTCCTTTCCTGGGGCCACCTGTCTTCCCTTTTGCTGCCTGGGCTAGAAGACACCTGTATCTATGTGTGCCCCTTGCAATTCTCCCCACTGCCTGCAGGAATCTGAGTAGACGGTGGACTGGCCTGGTCCTCACTAGGGCCAGCCTGGCACCTGGGAAGGGACAATTCCTCACCTGGGGTGCAGACTGCTGGCAAACCTGAGGGGTGGAGGCTGTCGATAGGAAATGGAAAGCAGTGGCGGAGGTGGCAGCGGGGTGGGGGTGGGGGTGTCAGGAAACGTAAAGAGGGCCGGGTCCAAGGGGAAAGCAACACATCAGGCCAGGCTGCAGCTGAGGCTCCCTGCGCAGTCTCGCTGCCATCCAGGGCCATTGTACCACGGAGGGCCACAGACAGGAGGTGGCCACCCATGTGGGGCTGGAAGGGGCCTGTGCCCCATGACACAGGTCCAGCACTGACCTTCGGTGGCCTCAGCCTCCCGGCCCTGTGAAGATGGCACCTCATCGTCATCGTCATCGGGCTCGGCCTCCTCCCTTGTGCAGCCTGCAGATTCATCCAGGCCAGTGGCCCCCGCTGCCTCCCCAGGGGACTTGGGGTCTTCAGGTTTTGACTTCTTGGGCTGGCTCCGTTTCCGATGTGACCTGGAGGAGGACACTGGTCAGGCAGGAGGGGAGACAAGGAGACAGGCAGCCCAGGCAGGAGGACGTGGGGCTGGGGAAGAGTGGGTGATGGCGGCATGGGATGGGCTGCGGGCAGGGATGCACTTACGACGGCCCCGGCCTCCTGGTGGGCTCCCGCCTCCTCTCTAGACTCGGTCTCCTGTCCTCCTCAGTCTTTCTCCAGGGTCTGCTGTCCTTCACACTAATTTGTCTAGAACGTAAATTTCAGGGGTTTCCTCTGGCTCCCAGGCCCCTCTCTACAGCCTTGCACCCAGCCCGGGCCACAGGGATGCACCATCCTCCTGGCTCCCACAAAGCAGTCCAATGTGGGACTCGGCGCCTAGGCTGCAGGCTTGACTTTGATGAATGAGGGGGACAGGGTGGATGGTGCTGGGACCAAAACTGCTTGAGATGATAAGGCAGGCCCAAGTTCCCAGGACCGCCCAGCCCAGCTGACTTGGGCCTGTTCACCACATCAGGATGCACCACAGCCCCTGGCAGCCCAGCAGAGCAGGCAATGCCCCAAGGCCCCTGGTCCCTATGATTCTGGCCAATACTTGCCCTGGTCTCTCTGACTAGTCAGTGCTCTTCCATCACCCCAACCCAGGCAGGGCCCCTGGATGACTGCATGAGCCCCAAATGACCAGCAGGCAAGCAGATGGTGTTTAGGGAGAGCACAGGCAGAGGCATGGTGTGCACACGTCGGGGACTGCAGGGGCACAGGCAGAGGTGAGGGGGGACGGAGGCACCCATGGTGGAAAGAGAGGAAGGGGATATGGGGTTGGCAATCCAGAGACACCACCCACCCCTGCTGCTCCTCACAAGTGGCCCCGGCTGCCAGGGGGGTTAGGCCTGGTTCACGGTGCTAAAGCATCCAGGACTGCATCCTGCACCCTCAGCCCACCCACAGGGCCACTTCTTACAGCAGAGAACATGAAGCCAGGGTACCAACCCAGCACTGTACCCTGCTATGCTTTCCCAAGTATCAAGCTTCACGCTCACACCGTCCCTGATGCAAGGCCAGCAGGTCCCCTCTTCCCCTCGGCTTCTGCTGCCCCCACCCCCATCCCAAGTCCAACAGATATATACAGGCATGCCCTCTGATGTGACCCTGAGCTGGGCTCATGGTAGGTCCCCTGCCGGCTCCAACCTACCAGTTTCTCAGTATCTTCAGGTGCCACTTCCCCTTCCAATGAAGTCCCCTATGCAGGGTGTCACCTGCTATGCAGTGGCCACCCTGGGGCCTCTGACCCCCTGCTATGGTGGACACTGATGCTCTGCGCCTCTGGCAGACTTGACCTTGCTCAGTCCCTGGCTTTCAGGGCTCACACTCCTGTGCACTGAGGCACACCCTGCAGTAGTTCTTTCTCAGACAAGGAGTGCCCAGCACAGTGTGTCTGAAATAGGCTTTCTCCATCGTGTCCAGGGAATAGCTGGCTAGCGGCCTTGCTCGATGGTCCCCCTTCTGTGCACTGTGCCTCAGCCTGATGCAGGCAGCTCCTCTGTGCCAGCCCGTTGTCTTGCCTGGAGCTCTGGGGGTTCCTGCTGATCCTGAGTGATGGGCCCATGGGGACACAGCATGGGTGACCCTCACCCTGTCACAACACCCAACCTGGACACAGCCAGCCACATGCCTCCCTCTTCTCTCACTTGGAAACTGTCTTAGGCCAGACTCCTGGGCCTCTCTGGCTTCTTCCAGCGCCTCTTCTCTGCTGTGGCCTGTGCTGATCTAGAACTTGGCTTTTCACACAAACGCAGTCACCTGCTCTGAAGTGGTTTCCAAATTTCCAGGGCCCTGTCTCTTGGATCCCAGGCCCTAGCCTTGCTCGGAGCTGGCTGAGGGCAGCTGGATGTGAGTGAGGGGCTTGCTAGTGTGACAGTAGGTGGAGGCAAAGGCTCCACAGGAACAACATCAGGATCTGGGCCCCAGTCCACCATTCCCCAGGACTAGACCCTTTTTCCAGACTTCCTTCTGTCTTGCCCATGCTCAGAGTCACCAGTTCCAGGACATGGACGGACAGGCGTGCGGCTGAACTGAGTGTTTGCTTGGTTAGTTTCTAGAAGCTGACGTTGCACTCTGTGTGAGCAGACAATTCTGGACTTCAGTGATAGGCAGGGAGGGCAGCGGCCTTCACCCAGGGATGCAGTGTGGACAGTGGGAACCCAGCTGGCAGCTGCTCTTTTAGAGAGTTCTCAATCCCAGGAAGCTAATGCTGCAGCTGTGCAGTGGTCCGGGCCTACAATGTGGCCAGGTGGCCCACCCAGGTCCTGCCATCCCTCAGCTCTGCCATCCCTCATCTAGCTCCATTCCCACCAGCCAGGTAGGCCCTGAGGGCGTGTGAGCCCCCACTTCCCCAGGAAACCAAGGCATAACATCCATGCACCCCCAGCAGAACCAGAGGTCACAGGCCAACTCTGGTCATCTAGGACATGAGGTCATCAGGCTAGTGTTCAAGAGGGGTTCTATCATTACCATTGTGATCAGAATGAGCAAGCAGAGATGGTACTGATGTCTCCTGATATCCAGACTATGCCCTGACTTCCCCAGAAGGAAAGGGGAAGACACAAAGAGCCTTCCTGGAGGGGCCTGGGGGGGGCACTCTGGGGGGGCTGTCACCCCTGAGGGAGCTTCTGGTGAGGAGCGGCTAGAGGTCAGGGATGCAGTTCACCACCCTGTAGGGCAACATGCCCAGACAATACAGGCCCTGTGTCCCCAGTCCCTGGAGTCAGGTGGACAAGCCAGGTGCTTTGTCCCAACTCCCACCTTCCTGTGAGCCTGGGCCTCTGTCCCCACTGCAGGCTGCTATGGTGGACACTGATGCCCTTGAGCCTCTGGCAGACTCCACCTTGCTCAGTACGGTGGCTTTGAGGGCTCATACTCATGGGTTGAGGCACATCCCACAGTAGCTTTCGCAGACAGGAAGCGAGCATCCAGTGCGGTGTGTCTGAAACAGGCTTTCTCCCTTGTGTCCAAGGGATCGAAGGCTGGTGGTCCTGCTCAATGGCCACGCTGCTGTGCACTGTGCCTCGGCCTGATGTAGGTCACACCTCTATGCCAGCCTGCCCATCTCTGGTGCTCTGGGGGGTTCCTGGGTTGCCTGGTGATGGGCCCATAGGAACGCATGGGGATGGGATGTAGCTGGGAGGAGGATAGCCACAAGAGGCCAGGTGGGCGACAATGCGCAGTTCAACTCTATGTGCATTGGTGGTGGGAGCAGACAAGCAGCCTCCCATGAGGCTCCAGCCACTTCATGGCAAGAATCGAATGGCTGTGCCTGGTTCCACATTTTAACGGCTTCCATTGCTATTCAGCCACCGGTGCATTGGAGCGAGATTCCAACACAGGGCGCTGTTCCAGAGGAGCCCGCTGGTAAGGACAGGCTGCAGACACCGTGCTCATGGAATGAGGCGCCTGTCTACTGGCTGTCTCCTCAGCTGACCTATGAGCCCAGACACTGACCACTGATCACCACGAGGACAGGGCAATGGGCAGGCACATTCAGGCCCCACAGGGCTGCTTTCCATAGGGACATGAGGAACAGGAAACCAAAGAGTGAGAGAGGGAACAAAAGTCACCTGCCTGCCCCCCAGAGAGGGGCCACAGAGCAGGAAACAGGTGGACAGGATGATGGCTCACAGGGGCAGTGTTGAAAACAAGAGCAGTGGCCAGGAGAGAAGGTTCCAGACTGGGGGTGACCTTTCCTGGCCAGGGATCCAGGCTGCAGGTGGAACACAACTGTGGCCAGAGCCAAGGAACACTGGGTGGTGACCCTGGGCTGTGAATGGGGAGCCCCCAGCTCAGCAGGGGGTTGGCAAGGTACCTGCCACAACACATGGCCCATGCCATGTGGAGCAGCATGAGCTGTGAGCGGGTCCAGTAGAGGACCGTGTGGAATCCATGGCATTTGAAAACTGTCAGACCCAACAACAGTGTAGGCAGGTGCATTGCTATGCAAGGTCTTGTCCACGGAGGTGGCTACTGAGTGGTGACCAAGGACCAGCAGGCCATGTGGCCAAGCCCCTGGGCCTCGCTGGCTGTTCCCTGGCAGACAGCTCAGCTCTGTCCGGACCCAGCTCAGGTCTCAGGGCAGCCATGGTCTTGAGTCCTCACAGCATCCAACAGCTGCTCAGAGCCCTCAGCGGCTGCGCATGACCAAGGAAAGGAGTAAGAAGGGCGTCTGAGGGGGGCACAGTCACCCCAGCCTCTCCTACAGTGTAAAGCCAGGCTCCTCACCAGTCCAATCACCTGTGTCCCCAACACCAGCACCCAAGGGACACAGTAGCATTGCCCACCTCCCCAGCTTGAGGTAGACACGTGTGGACACACTGCCAGGAAGGGCCATGTGTGTTAAGTCCAAAGTAGGGACAGGGCAGCTACTCTGGGCTGGATGCCTGTACTCATGGGTTGTAGGGAGGGCTGGAGGCTTACGGGGTGGGGCAGGGGGCAGGTGGGAGGAGCAGATGCCTCCTGACACAGAAGCCAGACAAGACAGACAGATGGAGGGGAAGCGGGAAGACAGGGAGGAGGAAGAGGAGGAAGAGGAGATGGAGGGGGGCTGTCACAGGGAGGGCACACTCACCTGCGCAGGAGCTTGGCCTTGAGGGAAACACGAGAGGCACTCCAGGAGCTGAGCTCAGGGCTGCTGAGGGCCGTGGGCCTAGTATGGTCCAGCACAGTGAGGTCTCGGCCCTGTTTCCACTGCTCGTAGCGCTCAGGCTGCAGGATGCGCACGAACACATCCATGGAGATCTTCACCATGTCCTTGCGGCACGTGCACTGGCGGGAGGAACAAAAGGGAGGGAGCGATACATGAGTCTCACCCCAGAGCAGCACGTGGAGCCCCCACTAAAGGCCAGGCCTGCATCAGTCCTGCTTCTGCCACCAGACTCTCCTCTGGGAGGAGATGGCACCCAGGGGCCATCCCCAAGAGATGCCCATTAGAGTAAACATCTGCAGTCAGCAGTGAGCAAGGACAGACGAACATGACAACATTCCCACAGGTGAAGAAGGGTCTCATGGGTCCAATCAGCCAGGACTGGGAGCACAGGTCTGAGCCAAGAGCTGGCAAAGACTAGACGCATTTTTAGTCATTCTTTCTTGCTTTTGCAAGAACTGAGGATGAAACCAGGGCCTTAGGCATGACACATACACCGTTTACCCGAGCCACACCCACAGCCCCTCACTGGGGACTCTAGGCTGTCACTCTACCCGAGCCATGCCCACAGCCCCTCACTGGGGATTCTAGGCTGTCACTCTACCCGAGCCACGCCCACAGCCCCTCACTGGGGACTCTAGGCTGTCACTCTACCCTGAGCCACGCCCCCAGCCCCTCACTGGGTTAGTTTTTTATTTTGAGTCAGGGTCTTGTTCTGTAGCCCAGGCTGGGCTTGGTCTTGTCGTTGTCCTGCTTTCTGAGCAGCTGAAATGACATGCCTCTGCCAGCATTCTTTTTTTTGGTCTTTTTGAGACAGGGTCTCCCTGTAACCCAGCTGTCCTGGAGCTCATTATGTAGACCAGGCTGGCCTCAAACTCACAGAGATCTGCCTGTCTCTGCATCTTGAGTGCTGGGATTAAAGGCGTGTGCCACCATGCCTGGCCCCATTATTTTAAAAAAAAATATTTTTATTTTATGTGTATGAGTACATTGCCTACATGTGTGAAAGTGCACCTGTGTTCTGCAATGCCCCACGCCCCCAGCCCCTCACTGAGGATTCTAGGCTGTCACTCTACCCTGAGCCACGCCCCCAGCCCCTCTCTGGGGACTCTAGGCTGTCACTCTACCCTGAGCTACACCCCCAGCCCCTCACTGCCTCACTGGGGTACTCTAGGCAGGGGCTCTACCTCTAAGCCACACCACCACACTTCCTGTGCTTTTGACTAGACAGTCTCCATGCTAGGCTCTGAAAGTCATGGGATTCACCAGTGTTATGGCCACTGTGTAAATGGACAGCCAAGAAACCCTTATTTATCAAACCCCTGCTGCAGTCTTGGTGGCTGTGATTGCCAAGTGGGTTGCAGGCTCTGATGCATTTCCTGAGTGTTGCACACCCAGCAATGTGTAAATGAGGCTCCAGGGTGGCCCGACTTCCTCCTGTCAGTCAGGTCAGCCTTGTGATCCCTCTCGGAGTTTTCTGCCTCCTGTTCCACAGTCGCTCCGAGTCCTGTTTGTGATGCCCTCCATGTTAGGGAACAAAGCAGAGACCTTCCCAAAGTCTCTCCTGCTGTGGAACCCTCTGGAAGGCTGGGCCTGGTGCATGTTGGAATGTTCTGAGGCTCCCACCCCCTCTGCGCACCTGAGCCACAGGGAGTGTTTACGGCCCAGTGATTCCCAGCAAACTCAATTCACTCGATGCTGACACGTAGGACGTGGGCTGCAAAGAGACTTGGCCAACGGACACACGGTGCAGGTGACACCAAGTTATGTCCTCCTGGCCAACCGCAGCCTCCCCGGAGTCCCCATCAACCCATCAACCATGGCTCGTGTATCTGTGTCAAGTGGCTCTATGATTACTTTGTCAAGCAATTAGGAAAGGCACCTGTGCACCCATGGAAGCCACAGACACATTCTAGCAGCACAGCCTAGAGCCCAGCCCTCACCCACACAGTGCTGGCTCCATGTCCAGCAGGAACTCTGCCTGCGGTTAAGGCCACCGGGCTGGGCAGAGCAGCCAGCACAAGCTGGTGTGTGGTGGTAGAAGTGGGGTTGTCCTGCAGGACGGTGACCACAGGGCCATGTACTTGCACGAAGGCTCTGCAGATCTAGGAGTGTGGGCCCAGGAGGAAAAGGTGGGAGGAGGCAAGGCAGGTGGCTGGGGATGGCAGGGGACTGAGGAGGGTGGGGAGGTGGGAGGTGCCACTGGCGATCTGGGCTGCAGTCCTGAGCTGCAGGTTCGATGGCACCTGCAGCCGTCACCTCAGCCGACCCAGCTTAGTGCCATGGGCACAAGTGACTGTGGTGGCTCTTTAGGGTTGGGGTCGCTCTTTCCTGACACGGAGCTCTCTCAGCCAGCAGCACTGCAAAGGGTGTGAGTAGAGCCTACAGACCACAGCCCACCAGAACCAGTGTCAAATGGTGAGTTACAGACAGTGCAGGGGCACGCTCTGCCTAGGTCAGTCGTGGGGGGTGGGCAGCAGCCACAAGCCACCTCAGGACACAGCTGGGGCCCAGGGCATCCCCTCTGGGGACATATGGAGCCTCAGACGTCATCCGCCAGGCACCTAACACTCCCTCCTCACCAGATGCCCACCGTCTGGGGTCAGTTACCCACTGTGAAACTTTCTGGTGACCCCAGCCTGCGAGTGGGGAGATCCTCCTAGTGTACCCTCTCGGGGGACACAAGGCTGACTAGGGACACTTCACAGATGAAGGGCCGACAGTCCTGCAAAAGGACTTGAGGGTCCTTGACGGAGTCACTTGCCACAGCTGCCGGCACCAGATTAATCAGGATGTGAGCCCAAGGGTGCCCTGAGCCCTGGAAGAATGACACCCCCACTGTGGAGCAACACCCCACACTCCATCATGCCTCCCGAGCTCTGACCGCAGCCAGGAAGCAGTCTGGGCCTGCCACCCACACCCTAGGACAGCTGTGGCCCTCCCTCATAGGGACCTGGGGCACCCAGATGACACGAGCTGTGGCACCCCAAAAGGCATTACCGTGCACCCCAGTACTACACCCCCATAATAACACTGCAGTCCATGCAGAGGACACCGCAGTTCACAGCCCAAAATGATGGGTACATGGGGGAAAAGATCCAGGCCTTGCTCGCCTTAGTTCACAAAGAAACTTCTAGAACCTGAGGCCCAAGGTGGAAACAGCCCACCTGTTTGTGTACCCTTCTTACCAGCACCGTCCCTAGAGGCCGCCACCTCCACAGACAGGATGACCTTGGGGCTGCCAGAGTACATGACAGAAGGGGACCCGGGTCCCCTGTCCAGGTAAGTGACACAGGCCAGGGGGACAGGAAGCAAGTGCTGGTCCAGGGCCTCAGTCTCCCCCACTCATGCTGACAGGAAGACGATCTCCCTCTGCCAGGGGGCTGCCTTGGGCTGGGTCTGCCCCTCCCAGCAGGTGGCTCCTAATGCCCACATCCTGTTTCTATGTCAAGATCCATCCCCACCTGAGCCTGACGGGCTCACAGCCAACAGCACCAGCCCTTCCGTCACCCTTCTTCCCTGGGACCTCACTGGACACTGGGGCTGTTTTGATGTTTGATCTTCCAAGGTGGGTGACAGCTGTCTGCCTGAGCCTCTGCCCAGGTGACCTCTCAACCGTAGGCTCTTTGTTTACCTGTTTTTTTTTTGTTTTGGTCTTGAATTTTCTATGTAGACCAGGCTGGCCTTGATCTCATGCCTCACTTTAATTATTTTTATTGTTGTTTGTTTCTTGGGACAGGATCTCTCTATAGGCCTAGCTTGCCTAGAACTGCTATGTAGCCCAGGCTGGCCTCAATCTCACAGAGATCCACCTGCCTCTGTCTCCTGGGTGCTGGGATTAAAGTCATACACCACCATGTGGGGGCACCTCAGGCCACTTGGAAAGATGTGTGACAGGACCCTGCCTGAATGCAGTCAGGAGGGTTTTGTGGGGAGTCTCTATCCCATGCGGCCCTTCTTACCATGTCCTGAAAGAGGCATCCACAAACCTCAACAGGCTGGTCACATCCAGGTCAGCAGTTGGCCACCATCCCTGGCTGCCCATCCTGCTATTCTGAGAAACGGCATTTTATGAGCCATGGTTATTGTCCCAGTGAGGGCCATGACTCCTGGCCTGCGCTTGGCGGGTACAGAGGCCTGTGCTCGCCTGCTCACTCCAACCTTCCTGCTCAGCACCTCAGAGACTCCGACCACAGTGGGGCCTTGAGGCTTAGTGCCCACCCCTGTGCCTGCAGCCCAGTCTAGATGTGCAGAGCTCACAGACCAGGTAGGATTAGAATCTGCAGTTGGCATGCTGAAGCCTGTAACCCAAGAGACCACAAAGCACAGGGGGCTCCACCAACCCAGAGGAGCTTGAGGTGACAGGCCTGGGTGTGTCCCTGACACGTGCCTCTCATGAGGTCATGGAGAAAACCTGGAGCCAAACTTAAGACAGCCATACTGGACCAGCCAGTTCTTCACATGGACAGACTCTAGGCAGACCTGCATATCCTAGGCCACTGCACTTGCCTAACACCCTGTCCTGATTTGTGCACAAACGGCATCCTGAAACCCTACTCTGTACACTGCTACTGCCACTGGCCACTTCAAGACCCAAGAGGCTGCCTCATCCCTTTTCAGAGCTGTATAATGACCCAGAGTCTGGTGTATCTGCCATTTATCACAGGTGCTTCAAGCTTGTTCCTGCATGTTAAGACCTGGCCTATGTTGATAGCAGTGTCCTTCTCTGGGTGACCACCCCCCCATCCTGCACTGTTGGACACTCATCTAAGCCCCTACGGGGACCCAAGGCATGCAGCCCATTCCTGCCCTAGTCACCCTCATTTTACACCACACATCCCACTGGCCCATGGTCCCACATGCAGATCCCTGACCCCTTCCAGGCCCTTCTGTACCACTAGACATTAGGAGCCATAAAGGACCCAACAGTCAGTGACACTGGCAGAGACATGGGGCAGGCCTGTCTTCTAGGGAGGTGTGGTGACACAGACATGTCCAATGGGTAGTGAGGCTCTGGGTACAGCTTGCTCCCCATGCCCAGGGTCCGTGTCTGCCTGAGGCGTGGGTACTGGCTCCACCCCAGTGTGGGGGACTGCTGGCACTGCAGCTGGGCATCTCCAGC